CGAGGAGCGCGTGGGTGCGAGGCCGGCCGCCAGTGCGTGAGCCCGGGCGCGTGCGGGGAACAGCAGGGCTCGAAGGCCACGCGCTGTGCGGTTCCCGCCCACGGAACGCCCGGAATAGGCGGACCCGCGGGCCCCAAGCCCAGCCGGACGGGGTGGGTGCGCGGGGAGTGGCCGCCAGGGGGCAGGGTTTCCTCTGAGCGCTGACAGGTTCTGCACCGGGACAGTGGGGGCGGGGCATAAGCGCCCAGAATTGGACCCGCTAAAACGCTTAAACCCGTACATTTTACATTCTGCGTATTTCACCACAATAAAAAGTAGGGGGGGGGGCATTAAATTAAGTGCAATTTCTTTGTAACGTTTTGTCTATAAGTCGTAGAAAAGTTGTAACACGGTTGAAGGAACCCCCGAAGTACGCTTTCCTGAAAGCACCGACTTCACACTTTGTTCCATTTTGAATCATTCTCAGTAAATGTTTATAAACACGTCAGCGGGGGTTTTCTGGATCGTTTGGAAGGAAGATGGAGACACCAGAAGACTGCACTGTGTATTTCCAGCGGGAAAGGCGAGGCGGGGCAGGGGAACTGTTTTTGGACTGGTTGGTCTGAGCCTCTGGGGGGGCCTTGCTGCATAGGGGCCGCCTCTAGCTGTCTGGTACCTGGCCCAGGTGATTTAGCAATTTTAGCTGATGCGTGGGCTCTAGGTTCCAGGGGAGCTGTAAGTACTGTGGCCGTGGGTTTGGCCCTGTAATTAATGGATACAAACAGACAAACACTGAATTTAAAAGAGCAAGAGCACCCTCAGGTACAGAGAAAGCAGCTGAGCGTGACACCCCCACAACGGACAAAGGGGAGACCATGAGCTTTGAATCAAATCTATGGCCACGACTCAGTCTCGCCACCAAAGATTTCGGAGAAGGCTGGAGCTGCGGAGGTGGTGAGCCCCTGGGAGCCAGTGGGGCAGTCCCAGGTCAGGCCAGAGGCCCATTGCTGGAGCTCGAGGCACTGCCCCCTGCTCCTCCAGGAGCTCTCAGCTGTTCTCCCCTCCACCTCGGCAGGTGGCCTCAGCCCAGAAGAGAGGAGCCTGGCACACTCCCAAGGCTGTGGGAGCCTGGAGCTTCCTGTCCTGCGCTGGCTATTCGGGCTCAGGCCCCGGGGGCTATGTATCCCTAGCAGTCAGTCTGCTCCCTGCAAAGGGTGGGCTGTACCTGGGACAGGCCCCCCTCAGACACCAGGTCCTGGGCCACCTCTCCCCACTGCGTTCTCAGGGCAGGATTGGCTCCTCGGCTCAGCAAAAGCTCTGCGGCGGGGCTGTGGCCACGCTCCACAGCGAGGTGCAGGGGCGTCTTATGGAGCCAGCCAGTAGCGTTGACCTGTGCACCCCTGTCCAGTAGGTGGCTGGCGACTTCCACATGGCCTCCTCGAGCTGCGTGGTGCAGGGGTGTGAGGTCCAGTGAGTCTCGAGCATCCACCTCAGCTCCGGAGGATGCCAGTAACTGGACAGCAGGCAGGTGTCCACCAGAGGCAGCCCTATGGAGTGCAGAGCGTCTGTGCCTGTCCTTGAGGCTTGGGTCTGCCCGGTGGTCAAGCAGCACCTCCATAACCTGGAAGAGAAGGGGAGGACAACGCAGGGGCCAGCCTTGGCACAGGCAGGCGAGAGGCTGGAGCCACCGTGCCATTTGCCTGACCCACACCCCATCTGGCCTGAGTCACCTAACTGCCTCTTGCTCAACACTGCTTCCCCGTTTGATAAGTGAGCCAGCGCCTGCAGCACCCTGGAGGGGCTCTGCTTAGGGACTTACTTCCACTTGTTCTAATCGTCTTAGATCAAATTCAAGACTTGCAGCCACCTGCTGGCCCGCACGCTGTCTGGGGGCTGGCTGGACTCAAGCACACGCCTGGTGCCCAATAAATATTTGTTGCCTCCGGTCACCAGGATAAAGTCCGAACGCCCGGCCAGGCTTCCTCCCCCGGGTGCCCTGCTGGCCGGCTCCTCCCCACCATCCCCCAGCCCTGCAGCCTTAGGCGGAGAGGGTGGCGTTTCCTCCGCCTGCCCGGGGGTCCGCCCCGTCTGCGCGCTCCCCGCACCTGAGTTGGATGGTGCAGCCCCTGGGGTGGAAGCGGCTCCCCTGCACCCGCCCCAGCACCTGG